AGCTGGTGTAACTGAGTCAGGTTTGTAGGCCTCCTTACTCGCACACGCTTTTTCAGTTCTGCCCACACATTTTCTGTAGGATTGAGGTCAGGGCTTTGTGATGGCCACTCCAATACCTTGACTTTGTTGTCCTGAAGCCATTTTGCCACAACTTTGGAAGTATGCTTGGGGTCATTGTCTATTTGGAAGACCCATTTGCGACCAAGCTTTAACTTCCTGACTGATATCATGAAATGTTGCTTCAATATATCCACATAATTTTCCTTCCTCATGATGCCATTTATTTTGTGAAGTGCACCAGTCTCTCCTGCAGCAAAGCACCCCCACAGCATGATGCTGCCACCCCCGTGCTTCACGGTTGGGATGGTGTTCTTTTGCTTGCAAGACCCCCCTTTTTCCTCCAATCATAACGATGGTCATTATGACCAAACAGTTCTATTTTTGTTTAATCAGACCAGAGGACATTTCTCCAAAAAGTACGAAATTTGTCCCCATTTGCAGTTGCAAACCATGGTCGGGCTTTTTTATGGCGGTTTTGGAGCAGTGACTTCTTCCTTGCTGAGCGGCCTTTCAGGTTATGTCGATATAGGACTCATTTTACTGTGGATATAGATACTTTTGTACCTGTTTCCTCCAGCATCTTCACAAGGTCCTTTGCTGTTGTTCTGGGATTGATTTGCACTTTTTGCACCAAAGTACATTCATCTCTAGGAGACAGAACGCGTCTCCTTCCTGAGCGGTATGACGATGATTTTTTCCCTCATCAATCTACACACAATACCCCATAATGACAAAGCAAAAACAGGATTGTAGAAATGTTTGCTAATTTATTACAAATAAAAAACGGAAATATGACATTTACATAAGTATTCAGACCCTTTAGTCAGTACTTTGTTGAAGCACCTTCGGCAGCGATTACAGCCTCGATTCTTCTTGGGTATGACGCTACAAGCTTGGCACACCTGTATTTGGGGAGTTTCTCCCATTCTTCTCTGCAGATCCTCTCAAGCTCTGTCAGGTTGGATGGGGAGCGTTGCTGCACAGCTATTTTCAGGTCTCTCCAGAGATGTCCGATCGGGTTGAAGTCCGGGCTCTGGCTGGATCTCTCTGTACTTTGCTCCATTAATCTTTCCCTCGATCCTGACTAGTCTCCCAGTCTCTGCCGCTGAAAAACATCCCCACAGCACGATGCTGCCACCACCATGCTTCACCGTAGGGAGGATGTCAGGTTTCCTCCAGACGTGACGCTTGGCATGCAGGCCAAAGAGTTCAATCTTGGTTTCATCAGATCAGAGAATCTTGTTTCTCATGGTCTGAGAGTCCTTTAGGTGCCTTTTGGCAAACTCCAAGCGGGCTGTCATGTGCCTTTTTACTGAGGAGTGGCTTCCATCTGGCCAGTCTACCATAAAGGCCTGATTGGTGGAGTGCTGCAGTGATGGTTGTCCTTCTGGAAGGTTCTCCCATCTCCACAGAGGAACTCTGGACCTCTGTCAGAGTGACCATCGGGTTCTTGGTCACCTCCCTGACCAAGGTTCTTCTCCCCCGAATGCTCAGTTTGGCTGGGCGGCCAGCTCTAGGAACAGTCTTGGTGTTTCCAAACTTCTTCCATTTAAGAATGATGGAGGCCACTGTGTTCTTGGGGACCTTCAATGCTGCAGAAATGTTTTGGTACCCTTCCCCAGATCTGTGCCTCGACACAATCCTGTCTCGGAGCTCTACGGACAATTCCTTCGACCTCATGGCTTGGTTTTTGCTCTGACAAACACTGTCATCTGTGGGACCTTATATAGACAGGTGTGTGCCTTTCCAAATCATGTCCAATCAATTGAATTTACCACAGGTGGACTCCAATCAAGTTGTAGAAACATCTCAAGGATGAGCAATGGAAACAGGAAGCACCTGAGCTCAATTTTGCGTCTCATAACAAAGGGTCTGAATGCTTATATAAATAAGGTATTTCTGTTTTTTATTTTTTATAAATTTGCAAAAATGTCTTAACCTGTTTTCGCTTTGTCATTATGGGGTATTGTGTGTAGGTTGATGAGTGGAAAAAATAATTTAATCCATTTTAGAATAAGGCTGTAACGTAACAAAATGTGGAAAAAGTAAAGTGGTCTGAATACTTTCCTAATGCACTGTATTCTGAATCAGGATGATGGAGAAAAATCCACGCCTTTTCTATTTTATTTTTTAATGTCATTATTTTTTGGGGGGGATTTCAAACTTAAATAGCTTTTAAATAAAGCATGTAGTGAATATGAAAATTATATATTGGAATCAGGAGAGGATGGAAAAAAATCCACACCTTTTTTTATTTGAAATCTAGATATACAGTGTCCTCTGTAATTATTGGGACATTGACAAATTTTTTGTTGTTTTGGCTCTGTACTCCAGCACTTTGGATTTAAAATGAAACAATGACTATGTGTTTAAAGTGCAGACTGTCAGCTTTAATTTTTGTGTATTTTCATCCATATCGGGTGAACCGTATATAAATTACAGCACTTTATGTACATAGTCCCCCCACTTTTGGGGACAAATTCACTTATATGTGTATTAAAGTACTCAAAAGTTTAGTGTTTGGTCCCAAATTCCTAGCACACAATGATTACCCCAAACGTGTTACTTTACAAACTTGTTGAATGCATTTGCTGTTTGTTTTAGTTGTGTTTCAGATTATTTTGTGCCCAATAGAAATGTATGGTAAATAATGTATTGTGTCATTTTGGAGTCACTTTTATTGTAAATAAGAATAAAATGTTTCTTAACACTTCTACATTAATGTGGAGGCTACCATGATTACGGATAGTCCTGAATAAATCGTGAATAATAATGAGTCAGAAAGTTACACACAGAAATTGATTAAATATTTTTTCTTCCAAATGTCAATCTTCAATAGCTCTTAAACAAACCATGCCATGACTATGGAAATGATATATTCTAAATCAGGGGAGGATGGAGAAAAATCTGCGCCTTAAAAAAAAAAAAAGTAGATATTATTATTTTCTTCCGGATTTCAGTCTTCAGTTGCTCTTGAAAGTATATATTCTGAATCAAGGGAGTAGGGAGAAAAATTTATTATTGTCCATAGTCCCTGGATTCAGAATATATCATTTTCATAGTCATGACACACTTTGTTTAAGAGGTATGAAAGATTGAAATCCGAAATCATACACTGCTCAAAAAAATAAAGGGAACACTTAAACAACACAATGTAACTCCAAGTCAATCACACTTCTGTGAAATCAAAACTGTCCACTTAGGAAGCAACACTGATTGACAATAAATTTCACATGCTGTGGTGCAAATGGAATAGACAACAGGTGGAAATTATAGGCAATTAGCAAGACACCCCCAATAAAGAAGTGGTTCTGCAGGTGGTGACCACAGACCACTTCTCAGTTCCTATGCTTCCTGGCTGATGTTTTGGTCACTTTTGAATGCTGGCGGTGCTTTCACTCTAGTGGTAGCATGAGACGGAGTCTACAACCCACACAAGTGGCTCAGGTAGTGCAGCTCATCCAGGATGGCACATCAATGCGAGCTGTGGCAAGAAGGTTTGCTGTGTCTGTCAGCGTAGTGTCCAGAGCATGGAGGCGCTACCAGGTGACAGGCCAGTACATCAGGAGACGTGGAGGAGGCCGTAGGAGGGCAACAACTCAGCAGCAGGACCACTACCTCCGCCTTTGTGCAAGGAGGAGCAGGAGGAGCACTGCCAGAGCCCTGCAAAATGACCTCCAGCAGGCCACAAATGTGCATGTGTCTGCTCAAACGGTCAGAAACAGACTCCATGAGGGTGGTATGAGGGCCCGACGTCCACAGGTGGGGGTTGTGCTTACAGCCCAACACCGTGCAGGACGTTTGACATTTGCCAGAGAACACCAAGATTGGCAAATTCGCCACTGGCGCCCTGTGCTCTTCACAGATGAAAGCAGGTTCACACTGAGCACATGTGACAGACGTGACAGAGTCTGGAGACGCCGTGGAGAACGTTCTGCTGCCTGCAACATCCTCCAGCATGACCGGTTTGGCGGTGGGTCAGTCATGGTGTGGGGTGGCATTTCTTTGGGGGGCCGCACAGCCCTCCATGTGCTCGCCAGAGGTAGCCTGACTGCCATTTAGGTACCGAGATGAGATCCTCAGACCCCTTGTGAGACCATATGCTGGTGCGGTTGGCCCTGGGTTCCTCCTAATGCAAGACAATGCTAGACCTCATGTGGCTGGAGTGTGTCAGCAGTTCCTGCAAGAGGAAGGCATTGATGCAATGGACTGGCCCGCCCGTTCCCCAGACCTGAATCCAGTTGAGCACATCTGGGACATCATGTCTCGCTCCATCCACCAAAGCCACGTTGCACCACAGACTGTCCAGGAGTTGGCGGATGCTTTAGTCCAGGTCTGGGAGGAGATCCCTCAGGAGACCATCCGCCACCTCATCAGGAGCATGCCCAGGCATTGTAGGGAGGTCATACAGGCACGTGGAGGCCACACACACTACTGAGCCTCATTTTGACTTGTTTTAAGGACATTACATCAAAGTTGGATCAGCCTGTAGTGTGGTTTTCCACTTTAATTTTGAGGGTGACTCCAAATCCAGACCTCCATGGGTTGATACATTTGATTTCCATTGATAATTTTTGTGTGATTTTGTTGTTAGCACATTCAACTATGTAAAGAAAAAAGTATTTAATAAGATTATTTCATTCTTTCAGATCTAGGATGTGTTGTTTAAGTGTCCCCTTTATTTTTTTGAGCAGTGTAGTTAGAAATTATTTATTCTATTATTAAAAAGTTGTGGATTATTCTGAATCAGGGATGGATGGAGAACAATCAATTGTCATAGTCATGGCATGTTTGGTTCAATAGTTATTAACAAGAGAAAACCGAATATCCAATATAAAACAAATTTTACCTCTGTCACGCATACATTCTTGTAAACATTTCAGGGCTGCTTTGGTCCAGAGTTGACTTACAGTTTTGGATGCATGACGAGAATCTGGAAGATGACAACCGAGACCCACGTCAAGGACATCAAGCCAGGACTCAAGAATCTCAACGTTATCTTCATCGTACTCGAAACAGGTGCTAACTCCTTATTAACAGTAATGTTTTAAATAATCAATTAATGATGAACAGAAACAGAATGTATATAATTATATTGTAATGCACTGTGGTGGAACAAAATTAATGTAAACTCTTACACACAATATAATGGCACAACACAGAGGCTTGATAGTCAGAGAAACATCCTTCTTATATGCCACCATGTAAACTAATGATAACAATTCATGTTGGTTTATTTGAATCATGCCAGCTATCAAAAAACGTATCTGTGTTGAACTCTCCATTTTCTCTTTCCCACAAATTGATATTTACTCTCCTCATAATTGTCACGATCGTCGAAAGGAGGAGACCAAAGCGCAGCGTGTTGAGCGAACATCGTAGACTTTATTAATAAGAAACCACGATCAAAAACAACAAACCAAATATGACGAAAGTGAAGTCCAATACTGATATAGACTAACAGCAACAAGGAAACAAAAACCCACAAAACCAAGGTGAAACCACACAGTATAAATATGGCTCCCAATCAGAGATAACGAGCCGACAGCTGACACTCGTTACCTCCGATTGGGAGTCATATGACTAATCAACATAAAACCCAAACATAGAAATGAAACAACTAGATCCCACATAGAAATACACCCAAAAGAAAATGACAACCCTGGCTCACAACTAAGAGTCCCGGAGCCAGAACGTCACAGTACCCCCCCCTAAAGGCGCGGACTGCGACCGCGCCTCACAACCCCACAATAGGGGAGGGCTGGGTGGGTGTTGCTCCCCGGAGGCGGTTCCGGCTCCGGGCTTGACCACCACCCCACTATAGTTACTACCCGCTTTCTTAACCTCCTCCCAATGACCACCCTCCACTTAAACCCACCTGGATTAATGGGCAGCACCGGACTAAGAGGCAGCACCAGGCTAAGGGACAGCACCGGACTAAGGGGCAGCACTGGACTAAGGGGCAGCACTGGACTAAGGGGCAGCACCTGACTAAATGGCGGATCCTGGCTGGCTGGCTCTGGCGGATCCTGGCTGGACGGCTCTGGCGGATCCTGGCTGGACGGCTCTGGCGGATCCTGGCTGGACGGCTCATGGCTGGCTGACGGATCTGGCTGCTCATGGCTGGCTGACGGATCTGGCCGCTCATGGCTGGCTGACGGATCTGGCCACTCATGGCTGGCGGAAGGCTCTGGCTGATCCCGTCTGGCGGAAGGCTCTGGCTGCTCCTGTCTGGCGGAAGGCTCTGGCTGATCCGGTCTGACGGAAGGCTCTGGCTGCTCCTGTCTGGCGGAAGGCTCTGGCTGATCCTGTCTGGCGGAAGGCTCTGGCTGATCCTGTCTGGCGGAAGGCTCTGGCTGATCCTGTCTGGCGGAAGGCTCTGGCTGATCCTGTCTGGCGGAAGGCTCTGGCTGATCCTGTCTGGCGGAGAGCTCTAGCGGCTCCGGTCTGGCGGACGGCTCTGAAGGCTCATGGCAGACGGGCGGCTTTGCAGGCTCAGTACAGACGGGCAGTTCAGACGGCGTTGGGCAGACGGACAGTTCAGACGGCGTTGGGCAGACGGGCAGTTCAGACGGCGTTGGGCAGACGGGCAGTTCAGACGGCGTTGGGCAGACGGGCAGTTCAGGCGCCGTTGGGCAGACGGGCAGTTCAGACGGCGTTGGGCAGACGGGCAGTTCAGACGGCGTTGGGCAGACGGGCAGTTCAGGCGCCGTTGGGCAGACGGGCAGTTCAGACGGCGTTGGGCAGACGGGCAGTTCAGACGGCGTTGGGCAGACGGGCAGTTCAGGCGCCGTTGGGCAGACGGGCAGTTCAGACGGCGTTGGGCAGACGGACAGTTCAGGCCCCGTTGGGCAGACGGCAGACTCTGGCCGTCTGAGGCGCACCGTAGGCCTGGTGCGTGGTGCCGGAACTGGAGGTACCGGGCTGAGGACACGCATCTCAGGGCTAGTGCGGGGAGAAGCAACAGGGCATGCTTGGCCCTGGGGACGCACCGTAGGCCTGATGCGTGGTGCCGGAACTGGAGGTACCGGGCTGAGGACACGCATCTCAGGGCTAGTGCGGGAAGCAGCAACAGGGCATGCTTGGCCCTGGGGACGCACATAAGGCCTAGTGCGGAGAGCAGCAACAGGGCATGCTGGACCCTGGGGACGCACATAAGGCCTAGTGCGGAGAGCATGAACAGGCCGGGCTGGGCTGGCGACGCGCACCGTATCCCTGGTGCGAGAGGCCGGAACAGGCCGGGCCGGGCTGGCGAAGCGCACCGTATCCCTGGTGCGTGGAGTAGGAACAGGCCGGGCTGGGCTGGCGACGCGCACCGTATCCCTGGTGCGAGTGGCCGGAACAGGCCGGGCCGGGCTGGCGAAGCGCACCGTATCCCTGGTGCGTGGAGTAGGAACAGGCCGGGCTGAGCTGGCGACGCGCACCGTATCCCTGGTGCGAGTGGCCGGAACAGGCCGGGCCGGGCTGGCGAAGCGCACCCTATCCCTGGTGCGTGGAGCAGGAACAGGCCGGGCTGGGCTGGCGACGCGCACCGCATCCCTGGTGCGAGTGGCCGGAACAGGCCGGGTCGGGCTGGCGTAGCACACCGTGGACCTGGTGCTTGGAGTAGGAACAGGCCGGTCCGTACCGGGAACACACACCACTGGCCTCAACCGAGGATCAGGAACGGGCCGGACCGGACTGGCAACACACATCAGTCCTTCACGCCGTGCCACAAACACTTCCCTCCCTCTACTCGCCAATGGCTCCCGTACTCCGTTAGCCTTCTCTCCTTTTCTCCCTGTGGCAGCCTCCTGCTGCCCAGCCGCCCAAGCCATGTGCCCCCCCAAAAAAACTTTTTGGGGTTGCCTCCCGTCCTTCCGACGATGGCCCTGCCGATGCCGTTGCTCCTCTCCTGCCAGGTTCTCCCCCTTCATCGCCCTCCGGTACCGGACGGCCTCCTCCTGGGTAATATGTCCCCAGCCGAGGAGGACATCCACCAACGTTCTCTCCTGACCCGGCGCCTCCTCCCATGTCCAGACCCTTTGCTCCTGGACGCGCTGCTTGGTCCTTTTGTGGTGGGTTTTTCTGTCACGATCGTCGAAAGGAGGAGACCAAAGCGCAGCGTGTTGAGCGAACATCGTAGACTTTATTAATAAGAAACCACGATCAAAAACAACAAACCAAATATGACGAAAGTGAAGTCCAATACTGATATAGACTAACAGCAACAAGGAAACAAAAACCCACAAAACCAAGGTGAAACCACACAGTATAAATATGGCTCCCAATCAGAGATAACGAGCCGACAGCTGACACTCGTTACCTCCGATTGGGAGTCATATGACTAATCAACATAAAACCCAAACATAGAAATGAAACAACTAGATCCCACATAGAAATACACCCAAAAGAAAATGACAACCCTGGCTCACAACTAAGAGTCCCGGAGCCAGAACGTCACAATAATGGATGTTTACTCTCCAACTTTCTCATTATCTCTCTCAGAACGATCTTCTTGACCCTAAACAGTCAGGCTTCAAGACGGGTCACTCAACCGAAACCACTGTGTCACGGAGGCTCTCCGCACTGCCAAAACTCAGTTCTCATCCTCCAAGATCTATCCGCTGCCTTCGACACCGTGAACCATTAGATCCTCCTCTCCACCCTCTCAAGGCTGGGCGTCTCAGGCTCTGCACACTCTTGGATTGCATCCTTCCTGGTAGGCCGCTTCTACCAGGTGACGTGGAGAGGATATGTGTCTGCACCATGTGCTCTCACTACTGGTGTCCCCCAGGGCTCGGTTCTAGGCCCTGTCCTCTTTTCTCTCTACACTAAGTCACTTTGCTCTGTCATATCCTCACATGGTCTCTCCTATTATTTCTATGCGGATGACACTCAACTACTTTTCTCATTCCCCCCTTCTGACACCCAGGTGGCGACACGCATCTCTGCATGCCTGGCAGACATCTCAGCTTTGATGTTGGCCCACCACTTCAAGTTCAACCTCAACAGGGAAAGGCCTGCCCGCTCCAAGACCTCTCCATCACGGTCGACAACTCCACTGTGTCCCCCTCCCAGAGTGCAAAGAACCTTGGCGTGACCCTGGATAACACCCTATCATTCTCTGCAAACATCAAAGCAGTGACTCGCTCCTACAAATTCATACTCTACAACATCCGTAGAGTACGATCTTTCCTCACACAGGAAGTGGCACAGGTCCTAATCCAGGCACTTGTAATCTCCCGTCTGGACTACTTCAACTCTCTGTTGGCTGGGATCCCGCTTGAGCCATCAAACTCCTGCAACTTATCCAAAAAGCTGCAGCCCGCCTGAAGTTCAACATTCCCAAGTTCTCCCATGTCACCCCGCTCCTCCGCATATTCCACTGGCTTCCAGTCGACGCTCGCATCCACTACAAGACCATGGTGCTTGCCTACCGAGCAGCAAGTGGAACTGCCCCTCCCTAGCTTCAGGCTATGCTCAAACCCTACATCCCAACCCAAGCACTCCATTTGGCCACCTACTAGCACTAACTTTGCTGATAACTTCTTTATTGAGTACAAATGTACTTACTACAACTGTGAGATGTGGTTGTCTCACCTAGCTATCAGAAGATGAATGCACTAATTGTAAGTCATTCTGGATAAGAGTGTCTGCTAAATGACAAAAAATTATGAGATATTTGACACTATCCTTGTACAACTAGCTTGTAAACCAATCAAAGGCCACTCTGATTATTTGTCCCTCTTACCCCCTCACATAGGACGAGTGACAAAGACAAAGGATGGGCATGAGGTGCGGACCTGTAAGGTGGCAGACAAGACAGGCAGCATCAGCATCTCAGTTTGGGATGAGGTGGGCGGACTGATCCAAACCGGTGACATCATCAGACTCACTAAGGGGTGAGTCATTTATTGAGTCACGTCACAGTCAAGTCAACACCTCACTGTATGGACAGAGCTCCAAACCTACAGCTAAGTATAAAATTGATACAGAAATCAAAAAGGACCACCCAGTCATAATTTCTATCTACCAGCATGAACTTACATTCGGATGAATACATACCATACGTTATTAATAGTCTGCAATCTTGGATCACCTTTAAAATCCTGGGGGAAATGTATTTTGTATTGAAATTAATGCCTTTTTTTTTCACCAGATATGCGTCTGTGTTCAAAGGTTGCCTGACTCTGTACACAGGTAGAGGTGGAGAGCTGTCGAAGATTGGAGAGTAAGTTCTGTAGATGCTCTGTGTTTAATAACATTTCATGCTACATATACGAAAAGGAGGAGCAGCAATGTAAATGTTGCTGAGAGATGCATCTAATGTCATAATTTACTGGTCTGAACTAATGCCCACTTAACATTTTGTTCAGGTTCTGCATGGTGTACTCAGAGGTGCCAAACTTCAGTGAGCCTAACCCAGAGTACTCTAACATGGACCAGACGAAAAACAAGACGGTAAGGGGTGTTTTGAACTTAGGGATGTCAGTGTGTAAGCATGTCACTACAGAATGTTTTACGGAAGGAAAGGGGAGAAAAAATATTTTAAAGAACGTTCACCTACGAATTTATTTCAATGTTTCAAGTACCTTTTTCTTGTACTGTGTGTGTGAACAGATTATTTATTTCCCAGGTACTCAGTGACCAAGGAAACCTACTGAACAACAACAATAACAGCTCATCTGGAGGCTTAGCTGGTAAGACCACTATCAGAGACCAACAAAGAATTTAGAGTTATGACGTCAAATGGAACCATTTCGGCAATGGACTTTGTTAGTGTTTATTTTTTTTTACCTCTGCTGCTTAAAGGTGATTCATGTAAAAATTCCACCTGGAAGTCTACCTAAATGTCAATGACATGTCTGTAGCAGTAAACTAAAGGAATACAATTCCATGAAATAACTATATAATTTCTGATAGCTGTTTTAAGATGTAAAGTTGCTTCTTTTACCTGTGAGTGGCTGATTCAGCCACCTTCAGTGTATACAAGCAGCAGTGTATTTATTTCCAGCAATTGGTTAATTGTGAACACTATAACACTTCACTTTTCCCTTCTATCACTTTTTTATGAAGATTTATAAATGAAGCATGCCAATTTCTTATTCTAGGAAATGAAGCTACCAGTGGGAACGGTGTAAATTCTCAAGGTTCCAGGAGCTCGACTAATCCTCAACAGGGAGGGCGGGCTGGCAGTGGTGTAGGCAGCAGAGCAGCCAATCCAGGAGCAGGAGAGACAGCTGTCAGCAATGGAAAGGAGACCAGACGTTCAGTGAAAAGATGATTGGAGCAGAAGGAAGCAAATCCATCCCTCTCCAGAAATGTCAAAAGATGAGACTAATGCTGAGTTCGTAACCAAGTGGGAAGTGGGAATTGGGAATTTACCACCATAAAGTTAGATGACGCTAGATGGATAAAACCCATTTTGGCATGAACCTTGCTATTGAGGGCTTCACCATTTCAAAGTAATCAACTGGCTGGGACTTCCTATGGGTAAGGAAGCGGCACATGAAAGATGAGACAAGTTTTTCATTAGTAATTACCAGTTGGAGGGCCGTTCAAATGTATTTTTCCCTGGTTTGTTTACAAGGAACAGAGTTCACTAAAGGTTATGTAACAATCAAAGAAAAAAGTATTTGTGAGAAAAGTAATTGTTTTAATGGGAAGCCATAATGTGTTTTTCAAAAGACCGGCAGGGATATTACCTTCCCTTTCTATGTTTACATTTTTTAAACAAATCAATGTGTTTTGTGCACTCACTGTTTTAGATGTTTTTCAATGAGATGTCTAAAATATAAAATGTATCTTTTAACTAATGTGCTTTGTAGGCACTGTGTGCAAAAAGTAGCCCAAAGCTGACAGATGGACATGGAGTTGGATTTCGGCAATCAGAAATCCTTAGTTGCTACATCCATTTTTGGACGTATAAATTAATGATATATACCTATTGATTGCTTGCGTACAACTTTTTGATATCTATTATACTTTTGAAACTATTAAAATGTGTCATTTTTTTGTCCTCCGGCCACTTTCATGGGATGTCCTCAGAATTCTGAAGTTCCAATTGTGACATCATAACTCCCAACATTCTATTCTATTCACTGTAAACAATGTAACTTTTGACACAAATCAGCTACTTTGACCACTTCCCCAACAACATAATTACCTGCTACCAATCAAATGTTACAGCTGTTTAAGTAACCACAACTACATATTCTCTAACTTTTTATAAACTGAAATTTTGACCACTTTCCCAACAAGTTAGACAAAAAGTTGGAGGGTATGACATCTTCGTCTACTTCTCTGCTATTCAAATCTGGGATCAGAAAATTTATGATCTTCTACCAATCAAAAATGACAGCCGTTTTACTAACCGCATCAACTACTTTTCATCTAAACTTTTACAACGGACATTTTGACCACTTACCCAGCACTTTAGACAAAAACTTAAAGGGTATGACATCTTGGTATACTTCTCTGCCATTTAAATCTGGAATAAGAACAGAATTAACAATGAGCTTCCATCTGGCCACTCTACCATAAGGCCTGATTGGTGGACTGCTGCAGAGATTGTTGTCCTTCTGTAAGGTTCTCCCATCTCCACAGAGGAATTCTAGAACTCTGTCAGAGTGACCATCGGGTTCTTGGTCACCTCCCTTACCAAGGCCCTTCTCCCGCGATTGCTCAGTTTGGCCTCCAGCCAGCTCTAAGAAGTGTCTTGGTGGTTCCAAACTTCTTCCATTTAAGAATGATGGAGGCCACTGTGTTCTTGGGGACCTTCAATGCTGCAGAAATGTTTTGGTACCCTTCCCCAGTTCTGTGCCTCGACACAATCCTGTCTCGGAGCTCTACGGACAATTCCTTCGACCTCATGGCTTGGTTTTTGCTCTGACATGCAACTGTGGGACCTTAAACATTTCTAAAAACTTGGTTTCACTTTGTCATTATGGGGTATTGTGTGTAGATTGCTGAGGATTATTTATTTTTTACATCCATTTTAGAATAAGGCTGTAACAAAATGTTTAAAAAGTCAAGGGGTCTGAATACTTTCCGAAGGCACTGTCTTATGTGCTCCCCCATAGTTATAATTTATTTGAAAGTTCTGAAAAGTTATAGCTAAATTAGGTGAAGCAGTTACTAAAACAACTGTACCTCTTGATTGGTAGTAGATAATTCTGTAATGCAAACTGTAATAATTACTCATAAGGGGAGTAATTTGGGGAGCGAATTATGATGGTGCCTCTAGTGGAAGACATTTAGAAATATGTTTGAGCTATAGTAACCTCCCTTCAACCATACAAATATTCCTTAATAAAATGATAAAGCTGTTAAAAGAAAGTTAAGACTGGATGGATAGCTCAATAAATAGGATACATAAATAAATGGATAGACACAAAGTAAGGAGACAGGAGGAAAGACCTAATGGAGGGATGATTGCAAAGATAAAGTACGTTTTAGAATATGGAAGAATGGACATTTTCAGTCGAATGAGAGTTGAACGTGTTGTGTGTCACTGTCTTTACCTCACACAAAGAAAATGTGAAATGAAAACGAAGTCGTCTCCAATCCTACTTCCGTGTTCTAGTCAAGGAATTTTAGACATTTCCTTGGTTCTAGTGGGTGGGTGTTTACTTCTGTGCAAGGCAGCCTATAGACCAGTACTAAAGGTAAACTATAACTACATGTAGACAAAGAGTGGTAGGTTAGTTTAGTGGGATGGAGTGAGCTCTGTGGCATAAGTATTTTGCAATCCCCCAATGTTATAATTTGAAAGTTCTTAAAAGTTCCATGGCAGTAAATTCAATAGATACAGTGAGGGAAAAAAGTATTTGATCCCCTGCTGATTTTGTACGTTTGCCCACTGACAAAGCAATGATCAGTCTATAATTTTAATGTTAGGTTTATTTGAACAGTGAGAGACAGAATAACAACAACAAAAATCCAGAAAAACGCATGTCAAAAATGTTATAAATTGATTTGCATTTTAATGAGGGAAATAAGTATTTGACCCCTCTGCAAAACATGACTTAGGACTTAGGCAAAACCCTTGTTGGAAATCACAGAGGTCAGACGTTTCTTGTAGTTGGCCACCAGGTTTGCACACATCTCAGGAGGGATTTTGTCCCACTCCTCTTTGCAGATCTTCTCCAAGTCATTAAGGTTTCAAGCCTGACGTTTGGCAACTCGAACCTTCAGCTCCCTCCACAGATTTTCTATGGGATTAAGGTCTGGAGACTGGCTAGGCCACTCCAGGACCTTAATGTGCTTCTTCTTGAGCCACTCCTTTGTTGCCTTGGCCGTGTGTTTTGGGTCATTGTCATGCTGGAAGACCCAGCCACGACCCATCTTCAATGCTCTTACTGAGGGAAGGAGGTTGTTGGCCAAGATCTCGCGATACATGGCCCCATCCATCCTCCCCTCAATACGGTGCAGCCGTCCTGTCCCCTTTGCAGAAAAGCATCCCCAAGAATGATGTTTCCACCTCCATGCTTCACGGTTGAGATGGTGTTCTTGGGGTTGTACTCATCCTTCTTCTTCCTCCAAACACGGCGAGTGGAGTTTAGACCAAAAAGCTCTATTTTTGTCTCATCAGACCACATGCCCTTCTCCCATTCCTCCTCTGGATCATCCAGATGGTCATTGGCAAACTTCAGACGGGCCTGGACATGCGCTGGCTTGAGCAGGCGGACCTTGCGTGCGCTGCAGGATTTTAATCCATGACCGCGTAGTGTGTTACTAATGGTTTTCTTTGAGACTGTGGTCCCAGCTCTCTTCAGGTCATTGACCAGGTCCTGCCGTGTAGTTCTGGGCTGATCCCTCACCTTCCTCATGATCATTGATGCCCCACGAGGTGAGATCTTGCATGGAGCCCCAGACCGAGGGTGATTGACCGTCATCTTGAACTTCCATTTTCTAATAATTGCGCCAACAGTTGTTGCCTTCTCACCAAGCTGCTTGCCTATTGTCCTGTAGCCCATCCCAGCCTTGTGCAGGTCTACAATTTTATCCCTGATGTCCTTACACAGCTCTCTGGTCTTGGCCATTGTGGAGAGGTTGGAGTCTGTTTGATTGAGTGTGTGGACAGGTGTCTTTTATACAGGTAACGAGTTCAAACAGGTGCAGTTAATACAGGTAATGAGTGGAGAACAGGAGGGCTTCTTAAAGAAAAACTAACAGGTCTGTGAGAGCCGGAATTCTTACTGGTTGGTAGGTGATCAAATACTTATGTCATGCAATAAGATGCAAATTAATTACTTAAAAATCATACAATGTGATTTTCTGGATTTTTGTTTTAGATTCCGTCTCTCACAGTTGAAGTGTACCTATGATAAAAATTACAGACCTCTACATGCTTTGTAAGTAGGAAAACCTGCAAAATCGGCAGTGTATCAAATACTTGTTCTCCCCACTGTATATATATATGTATGTATATATATATTTGCGAGAAAAAACAACATATGGGGGATTGGAAGTGATGCAGACAATTACATTGATGGAAGTTACAATCTATCTGCAATATTAAAGCTGATCTACCCCCTAACAAAAATAAAAAAATACAAAAGGTTAATATAGTAGTCTATCAAAGTAACCAGACCAGATATTTATATATTTAACTTTGACTATATTTTGACTATCACTTAAAACGTTTTAAACTTCTTCAACTACCACAAAAATACTTTCAAAGAGCTGAAGCAAGTCACCCATTTCCATGGAATATTACCATCTAGTTTTACTCCAATGTTTGTAAACAACGTAAATGTAAATAAACACTGTATAGCCTCAAAACATGATTCAAACTATACCGAGTGGCGCAGCGGTCTAAGGCACTGCATCGCAATGCTTAAGGCGTCACTACAGACCCGGGTTCAGTCCCAGGTTGTGTCACAACCGGCCGTGACCAGGAGTCCCATAGGGCAGCGCACTATTGGCCCAGCGTCGTCCGGGTTTGGCTGGGGGGGCTTTACTTGGCTCATCGCGCTCTAGCAACTCCTTGTGGCGGGCTGGGCGCCTGCAGGCTTACTTCGGTTGTCAGTTGAACAGTGTTTCGACGCGCGGTTTGGCGGGTCATGTTTCGGAGGATGCATGACTCGACCTTCGCCTCTCCCGAGCCCATTGGGGAGTTGCAGCGACGAGACAAGATTGAAATTGGGGGTAAAATACAAAATAATTCATATATATACACATTTTATATCATGGATGGTCACTCAGTTCTTGCATCTATAGATCCGTCTATGAATTTGAGAGTGGCTACACTGCCCCATCCCTTAGCTTTTTATGGAAACA